CTGCATCCCCATCTGGCCCCTAAGGCGCCGGCGCCCCCGGCCTCGGCCCGCCGACCCTCGCCCTGCTCCTCCCAGAGGTGCCGGAACCGCCCTCTTTGTGCCTCTTTATTCTCCTTTCCCAGCACCAGGGTTTGCTAGGGTTCTGCGTCAGCCCTATATTCTGAAATAGAATGAATTCAGCGTAGTGGTGCTTTCGAAGAAAGGGCACACGGATCCTTGTGGGCGGGGTGGGTCCACCCGGGTGCTGGCGGGAAGGGATGGGGGTCGAACCCCGCACACTGCAGCCCTGGGCGCTGACCGCAGGGGATGCCAGCGACCGAGCGTCACAGCCAGACCACAGTAGCCTGTGGGGTCCACTGCCAGGGCTTCCATCTGGGGTCGACCTTGGTCTGGATTCTGGCCGGCCTTTTAGCCTTGGGGCCCTAGGACGTTACTTTGCCTCTCCAATCCTCAGTTTCCCCGTCTGTAAACGGGTGAGGGGGGATGATTATAGATCTATCTTGTAAGTTTCAAGAAGGAATAAAGTGAGACCATAGGAATAAAGCACTTTGAGGCTTTTGTATAAAGTTAGGTCTTTATAAGATTATCTGCTAACATCAAACACCTAATAATAGTGGCTAATAGCTAAGGTTTCTGGAGCATTTAAGAAAGTCACTGTTCTAAGTGCTTTGTATGCATTACCTCATTTAGTTCTCATCATACTCTTAGGCGGGAAGTACGGTGGTGATGTAGCTTCACCCACCACCTACAGCTCTTAAGTGGGGCCTGGATTCGAACCCAGGCACTGTTCAGTCTGATTTTAATCCTTGCAGTGATATTCCAGGAGCACAGAGTTCAATAAATTGATGCTGCTTTCTTTAGGAGGTACATTTTTACTGAGATAAAATTCACATAAAGTTTACCGTTTTAGCCATTTTAAAGTATACAGCTAGTAGTTCTTAGTGTAGTCACATTGCTGTGCAACCATCACCAGTAATAATCCAGAACATTCCCAACATTCCCCTCCCCCAGGAAACCCCGGCTCCATGAACAGTCCTTCCTCTCCCCCACCTCTTCCTCTAGCAACCCTAATCTCTCTCTGTGTCTATGGCTTTGCCTGTTGTGGACATTACATACAGGTGGAGTCCTAGAGTATTTGGCCTTCTGCATCTAGTTTCTGTCCCTTAGCATCATGTTTTTAAGGTCCATCCATGTTGTAGAGGGTAATCAGTACTTCATTCTTTTTTTTTTTTTTTTTTTTTTTTTTTTCTTCCTGGTACCAGGGATCAAACTCAGGACTTTGAGCTTGCCAGGCGGGCACGGTACCACTGAGCTAAATCCCCAGCCCAGTATTTCATTCTTTTTTATGGCTAAATACTTTTCCATTGTAGATATGCCATGTTTTGTTTGTTCATTCATCTGTTGATGGCCATTTTAGTTGCTTTACTTTGGTAAATAAGGCTGCTCTTAACGTAGCTATAAAAGTTTTAATGTGAGTAGCAGTTTCCAATTATTTTGGCTATATGTCTAGGAGGGGGGTACTGTTAGTGACAGAGACATGAAATTCAGGTGTTGGGTCTGGGATAAGAATCCTGGTTTCCAGTCGCCGTGTTGCTGCTCCTTCTCAAATCTTACCGTTAGTGTAATTGAGTATAAAAACTGGCAATGGAAGGTAAGGAATTAAAAAAGCAACCACGATGTACCAGTTATAATAACCTTGTTGAAGTGCTGATTCAAAGTTTGAGATGTTTCTTAAGTTTTTTCTCAAGAGTGAAATTTGATAGGGCTGGGGATTTAGCTCAGTGGTTCTGCAGCCTGCCTCGCAAGCACAAGGTCCCAAATTTGATCCCTGATACAAAAAAAAAAAAAAAAAAAAGTGAAATTTGAGCTTTGAACACAAGGCACTATTGGATTCTGTTTGTTAAATACTTTGTTCAGAGCTGCGTGCTTGCTAGGTGCTGTGGAGTAATATTAAAAATGTATGATGGCTGGGGATTTAGCTCAGAGGTTCCACTGCCTGCTTTGCAAGCCCAAGGACCTGAGTTCAATCCCCGGTACCAAAAAAGAAAAAAAATGTATGAGATTTCAGTATAATTCCATTACAAAGCTCCAGGACTATTAGAGTCTTCAATCTAAAAAGCAAAACTGTAAAACTTCTAGAAAATAATATGGGGAAATTTCTTCATAACCTGAGGCTACGGTGTGATTTCTGACATGAAGTATAATGAGCACACACTGTAAAGGAGAGAGATCCAGACATTTGGCTGCAAAAAAAATTAAGATTATTGGTTCATCACTTGCCCTAGAGACACAGAAAAGATACAGAGGACTTACTTCTTGAATACATAAAATGAATTATAATTCTAAGAAAAAAGCCCAACAGAAAAGGCAAAAAGTGGGAACAGCATTTCACAGGTTGGAAAACAGCATTACATGGATTTCACAAGAGTTTAACCCTATTAGTAAGAAGAGAAATTTGAGGCTGAGATACCACTCCAGAGCGCCCCTCTAGGCCAGAGGTGAGGGCTTAGGTGCTCCCACTGTGTTGAGCATGCAGTGAGTTGGTTTTGTTCTTTGGAAAGGCATTTGGCAGTGTGTCAATGGGTACCAAATGCCATGGGGCCCAGCAGTTTGCTCTTGAGGCGTGTCCCTTTGAGAGCTCTGGAACAGGTCCCCTGGAGTTGGGGACAAGAGTGTGCATTTCAGCCCCATTCATGGAACTGGCAAAACAGTCTCCGCCCACACGAGTTGAGTGTGCTTAGACGGGACAACAGTGAAGGCCAGCTCTCCAGCTGCAAGTCGTGGTCAGGTCTCCAGCACACACTGTGTGCAAGAAGCAAGCCACCGTGGGACACCTGTGACGCCAGACCAGGCGGTGCTCAGCAGTGCTTGTGGTTCAGAACACGCATTTGGGGTGTGCACCTGGTATCCTAAAAGCCAGGGAATGATTGGCTCAGAGTCTGGGGGGTGGGCACTGCAGGGGGCTGTGGCCAGGCAGGAAGCTGTGGGGCTCCTGGTTTTGCTTAAGTGGGCTAATGGCTGAGCAAGGTTGTTTTATTTTTCTTTGAACTGTGCATAGTAGGTCTTGCACACTTGGATATATTTTTAAATATTTTTGAAGTTACAGAAAAATTAGTTTTAGATAGAGTTCCTGCCCTGAGGAGGCCTGAATACTAATTGGAAGAACAAGATTAAACACTGTGGTGGTGCACACCTGTAATCCTAGCACTCGGGAGGCCGAGGCAGGTGGATTGCTGCAAGTTCTAGGCCAGCCTGGGCTGCATAGTAAGTTCAAGGACAGCCCAAACTACTTAGACCCTGTCTCTGAAAACCCCAAAACATTTGGAGAGGGACAGGGTAGTATGGGATAAGGGAGGTCCTCAGATGTTTTGTGTGCTTTTACCATGTTACCAGGTCTTGTTCATTTGAGTAGCTTGGTGTTGTCTGTGTTTCATCCGGGACTTTTCTCCTGGAGCTCTTCATTCCCGGGGTTTTCCCACTTGGTTTGGTTGCCCTTGGCACTGTTCCATCCAGGCTGCGGTGCCGTGGACGGGATATTGTCATATTCTCGCAGCTGCAGCAGCTGTGCTTCAGAGGTGACTTTGCTCCTTGTAGTTCAGTCATAATTTTCCATGACACTTGTGCATATAATATTTCCTTTTTGGTGCCTTTTTCTTTTTTTTTTCTGCAGTACTAGGAAATGAACTAGGGCATTCCACTGAGCTACGTCTTCAGGCCCCTTTTCCTTTTTTGAGACAGGGTTTTGCCACATTACTAAGTAGCCTAGGCTTGGCTCAAACTTGTGATCCTGCTGCTTCAGCCTCCCCTAGTGCTGAGGTTACAGGCATGTGCACCATGCTTGGCTCCTTTAGGATTTTTAATGAATCTAGCCCTGATGAATATTGTCTTGCAGAAGTAATGCCATAAAAGTATACAATTACGTTTCTTCTTCTACTTTGGGGACAATTCTGCTTTGTTTTGTTTACAATTTTCTTTTTCTGGAGAGGGGGGAAACAAATCTATTTAAAAGTCTACAATTTATTTTAATTGCCTCTATTTAGAGTGCACAATACAGCATGATGATTTGACTGTATACATTGTTGAGTGATCCCCAAGAGGGGAGGGTAAAATATCTAGTTACTGTTCAGTGTGCCTGGAGCGCTTTTAATCTGCCCTCTTAGTACATTTCAAGCATGCAGTGCAGTATCACTAGTCACCTTGCTTTACATTAGGTCTTCAGAACTTATAACCAAAAGTTTGTACCCTCTGACCCATTTCTCCCAGTTTCCTTCACTTCTAGCTTCCCACCACTACCCAGCTACTTTTTTTTTTTTTTTTTTTTTTTTTTTT